AGTTCAAGATTCAATAACTGCCTTGGGATACAATCACACTTGTTGGGCATACGAACCAACTTTAGCCTTAGAACAGGGAAGGTTTTTCCAAAGGCTACAAATGTTCCTTTCTGAACACACAGTTCCTGTAATTGTCTGAATAATTTGTTTAACATAAGCATTATAGATCTTATGAAATGTTGATCTTTCTTAAGTCCAATTCATTTCAATGGCTCTGCTCTAAGTAGGGCTAATATTAGATACACCCATATGACCAACTAGCTTTCTATGTATGGTAAGATAAGGTTACGGTAAAGTGAAGTGTATTTGGGAAAGGAGGACCAGCCTTACCTTTGCAAAATAATCTCTTTAATGAGACATAATCGACATTCTTATATATTTGTAAAAGTTGCCATGTTAGTTTATCACATTTCCCTTTGGTATAGCCACAACCACATCTTTGACTTACAGACTGAAGACACCATGGTATGAAACCAAGCCACAACAAAAACTTGAGCATAAATCCAGTTACGGGGGGGGGGGGGAATGAGCACTTTTTCTGTTCACTTACTGGACAGGCAATATAATACTCAAAGAAAGCACAGCAACTTCCTCAGTCCTTTTCCTAGTTTTACTTTCTCTTCTATCAGCATATCCTACAAACCATACAAACTAGGGCTGTAGCCTGATTTTTTAAAAAATGGTAATCATATGAGTTCTAGTAGATTACCTGATTATATTTGCATAAAGTTGCATGTGGTTAAGGGCAATGGGTTTTTATTCCACTAGTGGGAACATCCATGATCAGAACACTCCTACTGGTGGAAAAGGTCTCCCAATCCTCCCAAGCAGATTTTTGCAGGAAGGAAACAAGAGATTACAAGGCTGGGGGTAATTTGTGAAGATCTCCCATTTAGTCAGAGGAAAAATTCCTCTGAATCAAAGTTCCTCCCTGATGGAAGAAGTCCTCCTGTCTCAGGAAGTTTTTGCTGATTCCAACTTTCTTTTGAAATGACGTACATGGTGTTTCATAGCAAGAATCATCTTGGAAAAGCATGACATTGCAGAAGGATTTTCTACATGGGGCACTGATTGAGCTTTCATGATCCCACTCAGAGGTTTGCAGGTCCTTTACATTTCCTCCTCCTCCTTCCAGGGCACCTCCCAAATTTTCCATGCATTTTTATGGCTCTTTAAAAAGCCAAGGATTATGCATTATTTTCTTCAATGATGCCGTTATTCACTACAGAAACCTTGTATATCTAAATCCCACTCTATACCGCAGTGCCAGCTTGTATTGGGTAATAGGATATATAGAAAGGCAGAGAGAAACACACATATATCCTGGAAAAAAACTTTGTGTAAAAGGCGATTCTTCTTCCCACAAAAGGGGAAAAAAGCCTCAGTAAATCACCAGGTTAAATGCCTCATGTACCAGCATCCAGAGAATGTCTTTGCTTCCATATGCAGTTTTTAATAGTTTATATTTTTAAAAATCTCCTGCCAAACTAATTGAAGGTACCTTTTAAGTCAATTAAAGATGTTTTGGATGGATTAATTTAGAAAATCAGTCCCTGAAGTCCTAATACAAGTATATTCCATTATAACATGTAGACTTTCTACCCTTGTGGAAGATCCAGGCCATGTGAGGTGTTTTGGTATCTCCAGCGGAATTATTCCTTCTGGCTTGAGCAACTTTCTCAAGCAAACTGAACTGCTTTCCCTATTGCAGCAGCTAAAGGAAATTTAATGAGACCTGAAAACTTCAAACTGTTCCACCATACTTTTAAAGACCCATAGCAATAGCATTGGTACTTCATCAGAATACAAAATCACTAAGGTAGTAATACAGTACTTGATGGCTGCTTTTCTACAACAAAATTTTAAAAAATGACCAGAAAAGTTTGTAACACCTGCCTGAAAAAGATATTATGAAAGAATGATTTTCATCACAAAAGAAAACAAGAAACTAGAAGTCAGAAAAACTTCTGTTCTGTTTTTCTATTATTTAGAAAAACAATGAGTGTCATCCCTTGATTCTGGAAATAGACTCGTCATTTTTTTAAAAATCCACAGGGTTGGATTTTTATTTTCCTTTTACATAAAAATAGATATCCCACTATTTTAGTTGATATTACTTTACAGATGCCTCACAGTGTTTCCCTTTAAAGAAAAAAATGGTTTTACAAATACCATAAAATAGATTTGAAGGGCGTAAGAATAAGGATCAACTGCAGTAACTACCAGGATTAACAGTGTAGTAACTTAAAAATTTATAGTGGACTAGTTTTGGGAGATGGTAGTTCCAGAACACAGACGAATTTAAACTTTCACCAGGTCCAGAAAGCACTGCCATTGCTTCCCTACTCTCCACCCACAAAGTCCATTCAGTCAAATCTTTAGCTTGGAAACACTTGAAAGCAGGGCCATTGGACCTCTTTGAGTCCAAGGGCCAAATTCAGTTTCACAGATGCTCTCCGGGTCCATTTTCCAGAGTCAGGCAGGGCCAAAGACAACAGAGGCAGGACAAAAATACCAGCAAATTTCAGCCTGAAGCTCTTGTTGCTAGGAACTAAATCCTAGGAGAGGCATTTCAACTTTTTAGAATGGGGGGGGGGGGGAGTGCACAAAACCTGAGAAACCACTCACCTGGGGAAAGGGGGAGCATCTGGGAAACCCAAGACGACCAGGTTTGGCCTCCAGGTTTGACACCTTGCACACTTGTTATAAAGAGTGGAGCCGTTCCACAAGAGGCTGATGAAGTAGCTCTAAGTGCAAACATAAGTATCACTGAGCTGCAGCACTCACACATATTTCCAAAAAGCTTTTAGGTTAGCGTGTGCCCTCTTCATCATGCAGTGGCTCTGGATGGCGATTTAAATGTGAAATACAAAACTGGACCAGTGTCTTGTTAGTGACCAAAAGAAAAGTTCCACTTTTGGAGCTATAGTTCAGGATTGTGGCACAATCTCACTCCCACCCACCTCCCCCACCCCTCATGATTGTACAGACTATTTTAACCTTAACCAAATTTTTATTTTTCCTTTTCTTAGTAGTGTAATCTGGCTTGCTATGCTTTTCTAACAGCAGCATATTTTTGTAAGATTATTCAGTATGCATTCCAGCACAAGAAGAAAGAAGCTGTCTTACAGGAATCCCTTCAAGCCAAATAAAAATACAATTGAAAAATCTGAGGGAGAGCCTGGAAACATGAACCCAGCCGTAAGAGTTCACTGGGGGTATCAGTCATTCAAGGAACGTTTACAGTACCACGGAATTGGATTACACTGGGGAAAAACAAAGATGTTGCTATTGCTAGAAACTTTGTTCACTCCAGAAGCTGTCTGGCAACTAGTTTGCTGATAATAATACACAAAACAACTAACCAGGAGCAACAGACGCAGTACAAATCCAAATATATAAATTAGAGCAATGTTTTCACGCTTTCTACTGAGAAGGAAGTCTTTCCACCTCCACTTTTCCACTCAGAGAACCCTGGCCTGTGCTGTGCAACTTGTGTGCATCCCAAAGGACCCTGAGGCGCATTCCAGGATGCATGTTCAGCTCAACAAGGCCATGGCCAGAACTGATGGACCTCAGTGTTGTGGATTGCAGTTCATGCAAGTGCAGCCTAAAATCACTAAGCTGCCATCTGTTGCTCCCCAGTACAGTGAAGGATCAGTAAAGGCGGGCAAGTTGTTTGGTAAGAAAGCTGGCCTTCCATCCGGGGCTTTCTCACCGTGAAGCTCCTGATCATCTCTGAGGAATCCCAGCATTTCTTAAAACGACATTTGAAACCCACTGCATTTATTCACAGGCACACCATCTCCAAGCTGGCATCTTACATTGCAGTAGCTTAGAAGGGAGACATTTCCTTTTCAACCGTGTTTTTAAAAACAAGATATGATGTTCATGTCTCATCTGTTCCATGCTGACCCCAGTCTTATGAGCCGCTGCACTGCCAAGTCAGTGTGCAGGGCAGAGTGCAAAAGCGGCTGCACCAGAATGCTTTTCACAGTGATTCTGCACGTAGTGCCAGGAGGTCACATGGGCGGAGCAGCATATGAGGGCAGGTTGCCAGGCAGGCAGCCACTGCCATCAGTTCACCTATGTGGCCCCCAGGGAGGCATCTCTACCACAAAGCCAGCCACACCGGTGCAACTGTATGGACTTCGTATTTGGTATTGATTTCGTATCATGTCTTGTAGCACAGGGCCAGCTGATGGGTGTCACAGCTGGATGATTTGTCAAGCATTGGGCACCCCTAAAGCTACACCGGTGCAAGTCACTGTAACCTGTGCTCAAGATCTAGAGGCTTAAGCGTGAGAATGAATGGTTGGAGGGGGTGCATCTGCATGCCTCCCCAAAATAAAGAGGAAATAAAAACTGGAAACGAAGCTTTGAATTTCCTCAGCTGAAATGAAACTGTTAAGTGGTCTTTCCCTCATGTTTTGTCATTTTGTAAATCTCCCTCCACCCCTCTCATTAAGATGCAGCAGAATGTATAGCCAGTTCCAAGCTCAGCTTAACAATTCAAGAATAGATTATTTAGAAAAACAAAACAAAACCCCCCAAAAAGCTACAATTAGACTTTTGCAGTGCTTCTCTCTCTCTCTCTCATTCTCTCTCTTTCTCTCTCTCTCTCTCTCTCTCCTTCTTTCCTTCCTTCCTTCCTTCGTAAAGGATGAAAAAACCAAATGCCAATATAATATTTTGAACCACTTCTTTGAAAAAGCACTGGATTCAGTATAGCTTTCTTGATTTCCATTTCTGATATGCACTCACAGTTAATTTGTATAAATCACAGTTCTTGTTAGGTTTTCCAAAGAAAGAATGACACATGCACGCACACGCACTCACACACATATATAATCATAATTTGTGAACACTGTACACTAAATATTTCTTTTCAAGAGCATGACAGGTATTGGGCATATGGCAACAGGTCTGAATAATTTCCAGGGTCTGAAATCCAGGGATGCCACATAAGCAACTTTAGCCACAAGACAGGTTGACTACACTTTCTCACAAAGTAAACTTTATTGTGTAGTTTCAGGATAATGGGACAGTTAGTATTTCACGGCTTATGATGCTGAACACACCCTAATTCCAATTCACACAAAATTACTCTGCCACTTTGGTAACCATCTTTTGAACACTGTTCAAATCAAAAGGAAAAATGACTCTTTTTTCAACCTGTCTTTCTTTATTACCTATATATTTCATAATAACACTTTGAATTCAATGTACTTCTAAAATGTTGTTTTCTGTGAAGAATCCAACCTTTAGGCTTTTGTTCCTTTAAAATTCTATTATTTTTAGATTCTCCCCAAGGAGCAGTGGGGGGACACCACCTCTTGCACTCTTGCTGAAGAGAGGTCACCGAAGAATAGCTGGATCTCACTGCATCCTTTCTGTGAAATTCTCTGGAAAAACTCCTCGGCATTGGTCAAGATCTTTGTGCTGAAGCCAATCAGACTCTTTCACACCCATCAGCCATCCTTCATCCTGCCAGAGAGAGAGTGGGGGAAGGGGGAAGAGTTCGTCCACTGTGAGCAACCAGCCGCACAGCGCAGATGCCTCTTAATTCACTATACCTGCCCTTGGATGAATAAAGTAATGCTTTATCTATTGTTGGTTATTACCTGCTGCCCCACCTGATAATCGTCACTGTGCTTCTTTTGCATATATTTAAGCATTATCGTCACTACTTTTCATGTTTAAGTATCATTTAACCTGTTTACATTTTTCTCCCCTAACATTAATTTGTATATATACCTTTACGCTGTATGCATCCACAAAAGCTACCATAATAAATATGCTAGTCTTCAAAATGCTATAAGGCTTCTTGTTCTCCTTGCATAAATTTAATCTTTCCTTACAATGTTGTTTTGTTTTGCCTTTCTTGCTGTCCATGTGTCAGGCGCAAGCCTATCTGAAGATGAAGCTACTTGGCTTCATATGCTTAGTACTTCAAGGTTGCCTATAAGTCTGCAATCAACTAAACTAGCTTGTGGGTTGTATCAGCAAAAGGACAAATAAAAAGCTCACAAAATCTTCATACCTGTTCCTCAGGATTCTCAAATGGAATCACCAGGACAACATCCCCAGCCTTCAACTGTAGCTCATCACTATCAGTGGCTGCATAATCATGCATGGCTTGTACCTGCAAAAGGATATAGACTCAAATGAGGGGGCAACTTCTCTTCAGCAAGAGGCAGCCAAGTAAGCTCTGTGCCTGTACGTTCCAGATGACCGCCATGGTGGTTGCCATGACTCAGTGAACTAGAACAGGGTTCTAGACCACCCTCTCTTGGCTCCCCTTGACCTGAGGACACTGAGAGCAAATGGAGAGACCAGCTTGACTTGAGTCATAAATCATCATTTAGGAGATCACCCCGCCCCAGGAGGCAAAGATGGAGGGGGATGCCCTCAGGCCTGCCCTGAGAGGTTTCCCACTGTAGTTCTGAACCTCAGCATCCCTTCCCTTCTTCCCATCCTCAGGCAACCTTAACCCAGCCCTCTTGTGGAGGCAACCCTGGGATGAGTCTTCTCATCCTTCATTTACTTTTCATTGAATTGCACCTCCAAACTCTTAGCTCTTTTTCTCTGATTTGGACCTATGACCCTTTCTTTTTTCACCCATTCTTTCTCTAGTTTACTGGGTGCTTTCTTCATTCCAACACCAGGAGGGGAAACCTTGCTGCTTCTCACAAATCACTTCATTGGTATAGCAACCCAAGTCCTCCTATAACCAAACATAACCAGTTAGCTGCTTCTTATCCTGTGAACCATTTGAATCACGGGGCCGTTGTGGTTGGATTATTATTCCTGAATGATATAAATAAAGGGAGACAGGAATGGCTGCTTCCTTTTGCTTCCTTAGCCAGGTTAGTTAGAAAAGGAGTGGTTTGGAACTGAGCTTTAATTAAAAGGGGAGAAGGAGGGTCCAGTCCCCTTTTCTTCTGTGATGTAGTCCTAAGTTACTATTGTAGAAAAATGATTCAATTAAAATTAGAGTGAACTCAGAGGACTATGTATGCTTTTAAGGACCTCCTATATGTTTCCCCAACAACAATCCAAATTTTGGTCTGGGTTGTACAAGTCTGAATATGTGTAGAAATCTAACAAGCAAGGTCTCGAGGACCATGCCACATAGATCAGTTTCCACGAGGCAATTCATGAATTGTTTCCTATCCCATCCATTTTTATGATGACACTGAAAGAGGCATGATACCTGTAATGTGAGAAGAATTACAATGGTAAATTCCAGTACAGTGGCACACACCAACCATCCGGGCTGCTGAAATTATTTGTTGAAATAAAGTGCATGAGCTGCTTTGTGCATTTCAAAGTAATTTCTAAATGCTAGGTACCAGAATGTCATTAACATGCAAAAAGGTTCACATTTCTCATCTCGTTCCCCTTTAAAACAGACGCTAATTTCTCAGGGGGCAACCTGCCAGCATTATGTCTGATCATGTTGCATTCCCACATATACACCTTCCACATGTAATGACACACATGAAGACCTGCATTTGCTTATGTGAATCCAGCCTATTTTGCACATATTTAACACTGTCACTTCCACTTGGTTTTTTTGTGGATGCCTTGCATCTTTCCTTTTAATCAGCAAATTAATTTTTTTCATGCAGTGCATTTTAAGATGCATGCTCTGCAAGGATGAATGTCTAGCAGACATGTCTCCATGATCCACACTCACCTTAAACAGGAAACCTGGAGGCATGTCAGCTCTCCCAGAGGGAGCTCCACTCTCAACCGTTCCATTGACTGTGGCTGAGAAGGTTTCCACAACTACAGCAGGCAGAGAGCTCTAAGAAGAGGAGAAGAGGAGTGCAATAAAAATGGTCTGAGGCAACAAGAAAGAAACAAGGAATGAAATGGTAGACCCTGCTTGAGATAAGAACCCTGCCCACTGCAAACCTGAATTTGTTCACCAAATAACAACCAGATGTCACTCTTATTGAAAATCACATTTGGTGCCAGCACTTTGTTTTCTTGTTCATTCGTTCCTACCATGGACACTATGACTTATGACCCAGAATAGCCACTGAGGTAAGAAGAATGATTCATGGAAGAATGGGAATTGAAATAGGAATCACAGAAGGCAGCAAACATTAGAGGAAAATCAGGGTGTGCAGAGATGACGGGAACGAACAGCAGGTTCTGCCGCCAAGCTGGGAAGAGGGAGAGGTTTACAGTAATAGGCAGAAAATCTTCTAAATTGTTTTTGCCTTTCCTTGATCTAAAATTAATACTTGTGCTCCTCTTGGATGCCTCAGTTCCCTATGTCATTGGCATCACTCTCATTCACTGCAGCTAATGGCTTAGTATGACTTTGTGGGGACAACAAATTTGTTACCTCTGGTCATATTTCTTAACATGACCAAGTGTGGTAAAAAACGGGGAACTGACCTGGGAAGGAGAAAAAAGCCAGCAGTGGGCTCTGGGCTGTTCCAAAAGGCCTTATCACTTGCCTGGGGGGTGGGGTGGGATTTGTTAGAGTAAGAGGCAGCTGTTGGGCCACACATAAAGAGCCACAATAATTAGCCAGGACTGAAAAGCTCTGTGGAGATAGGTTTCCTAATTCAGATCAACAGCAGCTGCTGCTGTACTATGCTTAGCTGTTTGCATCAAGGTGAACATTTTTCTACAGAAGGCCACCTATGGAAATTGGTATGCTTTGCCCCATAGCCACAGGCAAGCCAATTGGCTGTATCCACACAGGATACATGAGCAGCAGAAGTGAGAACCTTCTAGTTTGGATGGATTCTCATCTGATTGTGCTAATGAAGAACCATTTTGTAATGTCATATGCCAGCAAGAGCCAGGATTAGGGGAGACTGAGACCCCCCTCCCTCTCCCTTGCTTATTGGTCTTACTGAGGCAGATCCTGAGTCAGTTTCGGTTTTAGCTGCTTCAGCTCCAGCTGCTGCTTCTTTGCCAGCCGCCTCAGCACCAGCAGGAGCGGCTTCTGTGGACTGCAACACAAAAGCCAGTTAAACTCCTGGAACCCCAACATGCCTAGGAGATCACATGACTTTTGCAGGGACCTACCATGACCTGCTGCATTTCTAGGGGTTCACTGATTTAAGAGCTCCTGCAGGTGAGTCCCTCCACAATGCAAACAGTTGGGTATCAGGCACTCCCAGTCTGTGCGCACAACTCTACATTGCACCACTTTGATGAAGAATGAGCACCCCTGTGCTAAAAGATGACTTCTGTTATGTCCTGATGGTTTACCTTGTGTGGATCAAAGTCATTAGTTTCAGATGCATTGACTCAATTCCCACAACAGGATAACCCACACTGAAGGCTTGAGTTTGAGTTGAGTAGGTTATTGTTGAGCCAGGGTTGTTCTTGAAACATAGACAGCCATGTTGTTTCAACACAATCATAATGAACCATGGTTTGTTAACCACAAACAATCTGCAGTTCACAACCAAAAAACAACTGAGGATGTTCTTCATAGGTTGCAGTTAACCATGGCTTGTTATCATGGCTGGGCTCAAACAACCCTTGGGTGTGGGTTATCCTGTTGTGTGAACCCAGTTATTGTCATGCATGAAGCTTAAGGGAGGCTTAAATATTCCAGGATGGAAAAACTGGTACCCTCTAAAATGTTCTGCACTACAATTTCCATCTACCCTAATCCAGCAGGACCAACAATCAAGATTTATAAGAGTTGTAATCCAAAATATCGGGAGAAGTTCAGATTGCCTACCTCTGGTTTATGTTAACTTGGGTTCACATGGAAGAGAAACAGAGGTAAGCTTCTTGTAATGCAAATGTTCTAGCCCACTTAAATTTTACATCTCTGTTACAAATTTGCTGGAAGCAAGAATTATTTTAAAACCTCATTATCTGAAACATTTTGCTGGTCCTGTCCTTCGGCACATAAGCCAATAGCATGCTAATGATGCTGTGATGGAAGTTTTTGTTTTCCATGCAGTTACAGGTTCTGTTTCTTGCATTGTTACTTCTGTTTATCACTGAAAACCTACAGTATCTCTTGGTACTGCCTTGTATTGCTTTAAAACTTACATTTTGCTTTGGGTAAAATATGTACAATGTGGCTGACAGAACAACTCATTCTGACAGTACAGGAGAAGGAAACACAGCTATGATGAACTCTGGCCATCTGACAATAAACTTCCGTCCCACAACAATAGTGCAATACCATCTGCCTGAGTGGCTGATACAGAGTTCACTGTTTAACTCAACAACAGCTTACCAAAAGGAAAAAAAGACTGCCAGATATGAAAATGGGGTAAGCTTTGCTGAACAATGATACCATAGATAGATGAATAGAGGTAGCTGCAGATGGTGAAAATGATGAATGAATCAAAAGGCAGAACTCTCTATCCCAACAGAAAGAATCGTTATGCTATCAAAGGCTGCCACCACCTGGCTGTTAGAAAAACGGCTAGGGATAACCTATTCAATGTCCCATCTCTCCATATTTATCCATAGACATTATATAATTCTGGATCATGCTAAGTTTCTGCTAGAGGTTTACAAAAAGAAAGAAGACAAATAAAGTGCTAATGGAGCCTATAGAAGAGGCTCCATTGTGGAATCAGTCTCGGTTGGTTATCAGGCCCACTGCTGAGGCAAGTGTTGTTCTAAAACAGGGACAGAGGAAAGGCAAGTGGCCCATGTGGGAGCTGCAACAACATCTAGAGAGCCACGCATTTCCCCAGTCCCTGCGCCGAGGAAACCCAGGCGGAGATCCAGGTTCCTCTAAGGCAAAGCATTCCAGTTCACTCAAGAACATTAGTGGAATAATGCCTGCTATAATCAGACAGCAACATTCACTCACTGGCATAATCAAAAATAATTCCCCTGCTTATGGTCGTCCATAACTGGTTCCACTGTCTTATTGCTCTGACAATGAGGAAACTTTCCCTGAACCTAACCTGAACCTGGGTTGTCACAACTTGACTTGATTATTCCGTGTCCTACGCTCTGGTATCAGTGAGAAGACCTTGACCTTCCTCTTTGTGACAGCCTTGGAGATATATTATCCCCCCACCTCGTCTTCTCTTCTCAAAACAGAACATACCCAGTTCTTGCAGTCTCTCCTCATAGAGAGTGTTTCCAAACCCCAGGCCCCACTTCACTCAGTTCATTCTAGATGCAAGTTTTGGCCAGTGCAGAATTACTGTCTATCAGTCCATGGTAATGTAAAACTTGTAAAATCTGACCCACTAGCTCAGCCCAGACTGAATATATATATTTGACTGCTATCCCTCCAAGCAAGTGCAGTGGGTGATCTGTGCTGAACTTTACAAGCACATGTTTCCAGGTCCTTTGGTACCTATGGCAATGTGGTGGATCAGCTTATGAAAAACTAACTAGTAAAACCTTAATAGACCACAGGCGCTTCCTCTCTGAAAGATCTCACACATGCTATTTAAAATGCTTTTGGGCTTCTCTTCCACTGTTCATGCTCATTTGTGAAACAGAGTAATACATTTTTCAGTGCAATTATATGCACTGTTGTGACAGAAGGTGGATTTATGACTGATGAAATGTAGTCTTGCCAGTAGTTGCCATTACTGCAGTGATACAAAGGCTTTCATGACACATGGGGGGAATGGACATTTGGGGCAGGAGCAAACCAACATATCAAATGAAATTATATGCTGCAATCTGGAAGACAAAACATGGGTTGAATGCAGGTAAGGCAACAAACCATGGTTTAATTAACCCATGGATCATTACATGTGAATTGGCTCTGTGTATCAACCTTACTTTATTTTGGAAGAATCTTACTTTTGATCATATGCATCTCCTGCACTTAATTCTGCTGTGGATGATATTTTAAATTGTTTTAAGTTTTACTTGTAAGTTGCCTTGGAGGCTCTGCTGGGCTGAAAGTGATGCATAAGTTTACAAAAACATAAATTTTAGCTCTGCCCTTACTTTTTGATAGAAATGCCCTGATAACTGTATCCTGAATAATGTGTAGAGAAGCAGCCCAGCTCTCACATATTACAGATGGCTCACAAGGGTTCATCTGATTCTGAGGAAGGGCAGAGGTGAGCAGATGACTTTGCAAGTTCATGGTTATCTAGTGAGGATTCTCAGGCAGAGCATGAGCACCAGCCTGCCTTGGAAAAGGAGGAAAACATGTCAGAACTGAGCTGGGAGGAGATGGTGGGGGGGAGCAGTTTGTTGACCCAAAGCAAGTGGACCAACTAAGCAGTCAATGGCTCTCCCTCTCTCTGGCCCTCAAGCAGCAGGAGCCACCCAGAAGGTCGAGTCAGAAGCTTTTCTGAAAGGGAGGGAAGAGGGGAAGTTTGAGTTTGTATTTCACTCTTCACATGGGCAGATGCATCTTCCACAACTCAAAGAGAACGCTTACTCTAATTTATACAGTTTTGTTAGCTACTAAACTCTAATAAAAAGACTGTGTTTCTAAAGTTTCCTCTAAGTCTGCTGAAACAGAAAGGAGGAAGAGACCTGCTCAAAACAGCATGGTGTAAAAATAAAACGGATAAAGAAGTAGCTGGCATCTAGGAATGGGTTGGGTTGGGTTTTTTCCCCAAATCTACCTATCTTTACTGAACTGATGTATTAAGAAGCACAGCTCCTTCCCCAATTCCTTCTTCTTTTCCATACCTATATGCAGCTGTGCCATGGCATTTACAAATATAGCCTTCACATTATTCTTACGATGAAAATTTAGCAGAGGCAAACAGTGCTTTAAGAGGAAAGCGTTACTACTGGGCCAACAGAATGAAGCCTCTGCAGGAACAAGTGTAACATTTGCAGCACATTTGTGGGGGGAAACTATATTTTAAAAGAGGTACACATATTCCAGATTTTCTCCAGAGCCAGCAACTGTATGATTCCTTCCATGAAACACACACGCACTACAGAAAGGCTTACAGTAGAAAAATGCATTTTCAGAGTATGACTGCCTAGATGAAACCAAGATGTTCACCAAACCCCCCTGATCTTGCCCCACATGCAGCAGAACATAAGGTGATGCTTATTTTATCTCTGCTATTCCTTTTCCAGCAGCAATACCTCTTTATTACAAATTAGGAATTGCTGATTGGTGCAAAGAGAAGGATCCATCATGTCAGTACTACAAGATTACACTCACTGTAAAAGCAGGGAGTAGAAACAGCAATAATATGCAATCACATTAGTAGGCCTCGAAATTTGGGGGCAAGATGAGTATTCAATGCAGGGATACCCAAAAGGCCTGTTACAGGGTGGACACTGTATCCTCAGTGTTATTGTCCACAGCTGTAATTAGGCTTTTAGTGTTATACCATAACCTGTCAGACAGGAAACCTTCAACTGGAGCACTCCTGTGGTTGCTCTTCTACCTAGTGCCCACTGTGCCTTCATTAAGTCTGGTACACTTTCCCCCTGAAGGAGAGGGAAAGGAAGGCTGGTACCAGGGCTAATGCCCTTTAAGCATTAAGACAAGCACCCAGAGAACCCTCCTCTAAGGTTCTCAGAGCAACCTAAAAGCTGGTGGCACCGCACAATCCATCTTCACAGCAGGCACAAAGCTGCTTACCCATCCCTAAAGCAGTGATACAAGATTATTAGCTGCTCCGGGCCAAGTTATGACTTTAATCACTAGAGCACACCAGTTCTTTCCCCCAAGTAAATGGCATGCGCTGTACCCAGAGAATGGCTAAACTCTAATTCCATCGGAAATTGAGGGTGCAAGTGGACCAAAGGTGATAGATTTGCCCTCTATCATAGCTCAGCATATTCCACAGACCACCAGCTGTGTAAGCCCCGTGCTAGAGCACAGTGGTCAGAACTGGACAAGTTTCAAACACAGGGCAGTTTTGAACACTTTCACTTACTTGGCTGATCTCAGTCTCAGTGGTCTGGTCAGGCCAGTCCACCACGAACGCACTATTGCTAGAATTATCGGCAGGAAACTGATCCACGGGCTGCACGCTGCTAGAGGGAGATTTTTCAGGCTGATGGACAGAATTTGAGGGAGAGAGAGGGGAGAAAAACAGATGGGAGGAGACAGCAGTGGGCATGGGTATGGGAAGATATTAAAATGACAAGAGTGCAATGAAAAGTACAACAGCAGACAAAGACATAATCCCAAGGTAAACAGATCTGGGCAGGTAAGTGGCAAATGCTCGATAGTTCTTGATGGATAAGGAAGGAAAAGGCAGCTTCCTGCAATACCCGCACATCCACAGCCCTCTGGCAAAAGTATATCACTGACTGCCCAGACTGGTTTATCTCAAAATGCACTGTTAGAGTTACAGGGCAAGCTTTTACTGACTTGGGGCAGCTGACCTGCACATTGAACTGCCCTGGTAGACTACTAATGCAAGTATCAGCAAACCCGGTTCTCCAGTAGATCATCTACTGGTTTAGGCTCATCAAACAGTCTGTGGAAACCTCAAATATTCCTTCTACACTGGTCAATCACTTGGTTTCCGGCATCAAAGTTTCCATGACCTGCCTAACCCAAGAAAGCGGCAGCATGTTGTTAGCCTCTTCTCTACTGGGGATGGGAACAGAACCATATTTTAAATTCTGCCCCGGACTTTGACTATCAGAAATTTTGATTTCATAGCAACATTCAGTATCATTTATATTAACAATAAAAGTAGTAGCACAAAAGCAAATAAACTTCTTTTACAGAACTTTCAAGGGGTAATGGCCACTGAAGGCTTTTTTGAGTGGTGGCTTCCAGGCAAAAAAATGTACACATGTACAGAGAGCCATAATATATTTATGTCATTTTACTGTAATCTAATTTTGCAGATTGTTTTTGTTTGAAAAACACTCTTGGCCCTCATCTCCACCATGGTTCAAAATGCTGAGCTATTCACCTCTTCTTTGAGCCAAATACCTGGCTGGAATACAAGAATACAAAAGGGTTTAGTAATCTGCATCTACATCAGATACATGACTCCAAATAAAATCTGATTTGAATCCTGATAGTATATACCAAATAACTGTTTCCCATCCCCACCAAGAACTGCATCAAACAAGCCATCTCCCCAGAGGAAGATAGCAATGGAAATCCATACACAAATATGAATTTCTGATTCTTCAGTGGATGCAAATACTCATTTAAGTGTGTGATATCTGACTATATTTAATGAAGGAAAATTCTTCTTAACTAAGAATAGGATATTGCCTGGAAATACTTAAAGGCCCTATTTAAAGTCAAGCAAACTTCAGAGAGCAATAACATCAGCACTAGCTTTACATCCTTTCATAGAGAAGCACTGTATTTCAAACATCTGTCTTTTCAATCTAAAATTAATGAATCATTTAGCTAATACTGCTTGTACTTCTAATATAGTCATTTAAAAGGCTATTAGTCTGACATCAAAAGTGTGATCCTTTCAAAATTACACAAAGACTTACATAAGCAAATGAAGCAGAACATTATAAAAAAAGACCAGATCACAGCAGAAGTTTTCATTAGACAGAAACCTCCAATCTCGGAGTCTTCCAAATATCCAAGATATCTGTCCAGCTGCTGTGATTTTTGCTTCTCTGTTCTCCTCCTTATATTCTTTTTCCTCCAAATGGGCCCTTTCAAGAGTGGCTATGTATAAATCTTGTGGTTATGCAAGAGAAGCAGCAAGTTATTGTGGCTACAAGCACTGTCACAAGGCACTGCAAGGCTAGCTGTCACCCGCTTTGCCATTTTCACACAGAGAAGCCAAGCCACAATCACCTGGTGCTATTATTTTGAAGTAAGATTCACTTCCTTTTTCATAGTTCTTAATTGTAATGGCCAATTTTAGGGACAGCATGTTGGAGCAGCAGAGCCTTAAACAGGACTTAACAGGTGCTTCAGCGAGGCCTGCAAGCTTTACTTCTTGGTTAACATGTTAGTTGCTATCACTTATTATAGTCAGGAAGGAAAATGTTAACTGGTGAAACTGTTAAAGGCATATACATGTTTCTAAGGCTGTTTTGCAAGTCTGCATTTTTGACATCAAAATACATTTATGAGAGATGCTCTTTCCTTCCAACAGAAAACACTATAAATAAATAACTTGTAAGTCATCCTGAACTTTCTTCAGAACCGCAATAAGGCATCTGCATTGAGGCTTTTGATAATTTGCACATGTTTTTCATTTAATAAATGAAAGATAATCTCGCCTTCTAACAGGGAAATAGGCTGCAATTCATTAAAGCTTATGCCATAACAAATCTGTTAATATCTTAGGTCTCATAAGATTCTTTGTTATATGTTATATTGACTTTCTTCAGTATCTCAAGTGATATCTAAATTAACTTTTTGTAGTTTACCAAATAATCAATGGGCAGTTCTAGTTTCAATGCAGTTAAATTCTGGTACACCATAATACATTTTAGGCTGAGAAAACTTTCCAAGAAATTCTGACTTGGAGAGATATTCATAAATATTTTGACCTAAAATTAATGGCTAGAAATCCAGTGCCATTCCATACTTTGTGGAGACACAAACAGAACAATCTGTTTACTACACTAAACCTTTAAAGAACTGAAGAAGGAAGAAGAGGAATGTTAGCAGAGAAAAAAGCAGAACAAAGAGAACAAGCAAAGGCACATTCAGCATTTCAGACAAGTCCATTGCGATGGAGGAATATTGGGAAAATCAGACTGGGTTAGTTCTTTTGAACAGCCAGTTGCACCTTAAAGGTATCAAAGAAATGAGTAGCTCAGGTGCATACCTTTAAAACATATTAAGTTTTAAGACACAGAAGACATAGAATTAATAAAAGCAACAAAGAAAATAGAAAAATGATGAACAAAACTTGTTTACTAGCTGTCAACAGAGAGCAAGTAAAACCATACATGGCAACTTTATTTGTGAACTGATTAATCCCAGCTGATTATTTTGGAGCATAACATAAAGGAAGCAAGGTTCATTTCTCCATTTCTTTCTTAGTGATGTGTTGAACTAAAGTGAGCATAGCAGTAGATGCTCCTTTTGTATAGGATGAGGATTGGTTTGGTGGCAGTTGAAATGTATGCATGGTACAAGATCAACAATAGTGACATTTAGTCTTTGAAAGGGAGAAAACAACAGTAAGGTCAACAAAGATTACAGCAGCAAGAGTTACGCTTCAATAAAGGTCATCAATAGTACATGAATATTGAAGCACTGGGAATTGACCCTTCCACTCAGGGAAAAGGCAAAAAAAGCATAGCTGCAACATACTAAGTTACATCCATGTACAGAAGAAGATGAGGACAGAAGGTCAAGACAATATTTGCATAGCGACCAGGAAGACAGTGATCACATACACCAAGCACTACATGAAGTACTGTGCTAAAAGCTGTATTAAGAGATTTCTTACCTCCCATAAATCCCAAGGCAAAGACTAAGCATAGCAAAGAGCAATGGAAATAAAAAACACATTGAGACTTCATTATTTCAGCCAAAATAGAAAATGCACAGATATAAAGCATCCACATACCACCCTGGGATCTCCAACCTAATTTAAAGGCAGGCACCTAGAATTATATTACATGATGCACATACCGCCTATTATTTTGGATTGTCCATTTTATTCTCCATGTTCTTTAGCTTATCTAGCAGCTAATTAATAAACCCAGTGCACACAGTACAAAAGCCACAATTATATAAAATTGGAGTGTGCTGTGAATAAGACACAGCATGCTAGTATACACTGTCCAATCACTCCTGCTTCAAACAGGAGTGGCTAGGCAGCCCAGGAACACTTTGTCCCTGGGTTGTTTAGCATTCCATCTCATTTGTCTCTTCTATGACAAACCAGGGAAGCTATTTTAGAACAACCATGCACATTCTGGTTGTATGGACTGGTGTGGTACGTTGACTGAGATTTTGACCTCTCTGGGTTCTGTCATACTCCCTAAGTGGCTCTAGGCAAGCTACTGGGTTGAAACACAATACTCGAGAGTTAAATATGTATTGAGTGTGGGCTGTCATTGAACCATGGGTTATCATGTTGCCTGAACCCAGCCAAAATAACAAACCATAGTGAACAATCCATAGTTCAAGACCCCAGAACAAACCATAGGTTCTCTCCATAGGCTGTTCGTGGTTAACAGGCCATGACTTGTTAGACCGGCTTGGTCCAGACAACACAATAACATATGTTGCAACAGCAACCCACAGTTCAATAACCCATACTTAACCCTTGAATATGGGTTACTGTGTTGTCTCAGCCCGGTCATTGTTTCTCAGACTCAGCCCCCTGATCTGCAGGGGGATAGTAAGATAGTAAGATTAACTATAATAAGATTAACTATTACAGGGATAGTAAGAGTAACTATAGTAAGATTAACTGGCCTGCATAACTATTCTAAGAATTGCTAAAATACTGTATGTGAAGAACCTAAACACTAATGTATTTGAAGACTCTTTATGTAAAAATTAAGTAACATATGTGAAGAGTATTTATGTAAAATTACATATTGTTATTGAGTGTGCACATCAACATATTTCCCTAGGTACATTTTTAAATACCTCCCAGGCTATCTTTGTCACTATGAACACTTTCTGCTCCCCACTGGAGCTCATCAGGTCTGTATTATAAAACATTTCATGGAGTCAAGGAATGGCAATGGTAAACCAACCTGGGCCACAGGTGTGGGAGACTTCCCTACAGGGTTGCTATCTGGCTTAATGGGATCAAAGTCCAGATCCAGCAGGCTTGCTCCCTCCTGGAATGGCCCAGGAGCATCAAACTTGGCAGCATTAAGGAAGAAAAGCAGTATTGCATGTTAGTTGGGTAGAGGAGGCAGGCAGCATGCGGATGGTGTTATCCAGGAGCTGAAGGTGCAAAAGATATGATAAACTGCATGGCACAAACGACAAATGCTCATGTATGCCCACTGACCACAGTACTGAAAACCGAGTGTCATCATTCCACGTATCTTGAGCAGTATTCATGATGGCATCCCTTGTCTCTAGCATGCCGCAGGCCCAAGCAGTATAGTCAGAGATTCTCTACAGGTTTTCATCACCTTTGCACACAGGGACCTTAAATGTGCTTCAGAACTCACTGTCTCAAGTCCTTTCCAAATTCTTCAACCTGAATTTTTTTGTACAGTTGTGGCATCTATTCCACTGTTCTAGACACCTTGAATATGAAAGAGGAAAGGTCTATGTAATGTGGACATTTGCTTCAATGGAAGCCTCACAGCAAATCTACACCATCTTTGTCAGAAACACAGAAGGCTCTTCCCTACTTATAATTCCCAATCTATTTCTTTGTTTAGTCTGCCCATACTCTAACTCTTTCCAAGATGTTACTTGCAATAGTAATAAATCATGCTGGTTTGATTATATAGGTTTAAAGCATATACTATATTGCATCCAATCAAGAGCAACATCAAGTTTCCTATTTATTCTTACCAAGAGAGGTTAATTGAACAGCACATCCATACACATTGTCTTTGCAGCCACAATCCTAGAATCATTCCAGAGTGTCATTCAAGACTGAATAACATCCTTAGTCCTGCAGGGTGATTTTCAAGCTTGCCTCTTTTCCCAGATTGCTGTTTTGCACATAATTTGTGTCCAAAGATTTCCTAGTGTTCTAGGATTTAAGTAATTTCCTTAGCCTTAAAAATATATAACTGTTCTAGTCCTCTTCTGATCATACTGGTCCTGAGCCAAACAGGGCATAATACTAGCATATCTGGTGAAAATATAAATATACCAAATGATGGATACTAAAATGCAGGTGTTTCCAATCTTTACACTTTTGATAAGTACATATATATTTTCACCTACACACACCTTATTTTAAGAGAGAATCATCTAGCTCATTACTTTCCATACAACTGTAGTTTCTTATCTACAGCACTTTGCATTTTAGCTTTTACTTTCCTTAGTCTTTCACTATTTCCACTGAGAACAACCATGCGGCTCTCTGACTTACCATTTCCTCAACTCAAAGAAATGAAGCTGTAAAGGCTAAGAATTAATCATGATTTTCCACCTAAAATTTTTTAGGTACCTACCCCCTGAAGTAAGAGCTTCTAGGTATGCATTTTCTGTGCTTGACTTGAAAAAAAAAAATCTGAGCTCAGAAAAGAGTATAGCCATGCTGGGAACCTTACCTGTACCTGTGTGAGGTGTCCAAGAGTTCTCCTTCATGTTAGTTTTCCCTTCCCTTCCTCCCAAATAATTAGCCCGAAACCAAATAGAAATGTTCACAAGGAGTGCATGAAAGCCAACAGGCATAATCGTTCAAGGCGGTTCAAGTGATTTTTGTTCTAGTCGTGTTGAAAACCCAGGCTCCTTCAGAATAATGCTCTCCGGTTATCCCGTGTTCTGAACATGCTCCACGCTGATTGCTCTATTTACACATGTTTTTCCCCCAGAGAAATGTACAATACAAAACAGAGTGTAAGAGTTGTTGAAGCATGCTACAAGGAAAGGATAGGTATGGACAAGGAGAGAAGGCTGCTCAGTGGCCCACGGCTTTGTCAAATATCAAAGCATACAGGGGAGATATAGCTAGAATTCCTGCACTGAGAGTAGTTTCTTGGTTCATGCTCAAAAAGACCCTTCAGTGTGCAATTTCTTTCACTTTGGGTCTATGCTTCCCTATTATTATTACTATTCATTGCATTTCTATCCTGCCTTTTTCCTCTTCTGAAAATAATAATCCTGTGAAGTAGGCTGGACTGAAAAGGAGTGATTGGCCCAAAGTCACCAGTGAGTTTCACACCTGAGTGAAAACTAGAACCCAGATCTCCCAGGGCTCCAATCCTGCACTCTAAACACTGGCTCTCTACAAATAATTATTCCTTCCTCCTCTCTAGTTCCCTGCAGTAATCCCTGTTACCCTCCAGTGCTCTTATCTAGGGCTGTAATGGAAAAATATTTTAAAATGTGCACATTTTCATTCTCAGTCATAACATCTGCCTATTGCCTGTCACTAAGGGCTAAACTAGACATGTAATGGAAGATATTTGATTAGAATCTTCCACTGTGGATTTTTTCTTTAAAGAAATGCTCGGCTTCACACAGCTGCAGCTGCTTGGAAGACAGGAGGACTGTTGTCCTGGGAAAGTATGTTTAACTCTTTCCTCCCATGTGTTTTCTTCAGTGTAAATAATTACTCCCTGAAGCTAGTAGCTCTGCAAAAGTTAAGCTAATAACAGCTTGGGGGGGGGGGGGGGCCAGGGAATTTGCATCAGGAAGCAGTTAAGAGAAGGAAAGTTAAACATCTTCCTTGAAGAGCACCAGTTCTCCAATGTTTTAATCTACCACCTGGGTTACTAATCAACCTAATGCCCTCACAGCTGTATTAGACTACAACTCCCAGAATTCCCTGGCCAGCATGGAATTCTAGGTGTTCTAATCCAACATATCAGGAGGGCACCAGGTTGAGGAAGCCTGGTATAAAGTCTAGTTTTCGCTGAGATGACATACTTGCAACCCAGCTGTGCCATTTTTGAGCATGAAGATTCTGAGACTAAAGATTTATTGAGACTTCTGGTGTGGGCTCACATGATTGAATGCACCTCCATGCTCATCCCCCAAAATAGATTCCCTTCACATTAAAATAAAACAAAACAGATGTCAAGAGAAGGATTCAAGCCTATCCTACCTCTGATGTGATTTCCTATCAAGGTCTAAGTCAGGTCAGAAGATGTTGCGCCCCACACTCAGTCACGGTATCTAATACCTAAAGCCAGCCAAGTTATTCTACATATCAACAGAAGCAAAAGATGCCTCTTCTCTGACAATAAGAAATACTGTAATGATAACCAACTAGCTCTTTTCCCTTCATGGTACCTAAAATCAGCTGCCTGAGGGAGATCCTGCTTTCTGTGTGGAAAGTGTTCAATTCCATTTTAATCAGAAGAGTACTCAATCACAGAGGGCCCCATGGGGAATCTGAAATGACCGTGTCCAGACATTTGGTACCATCACAGTAAGAACTAGACCTAAGGCACAGATTTTAAGAAATCAAAAGTCTAAAACAGGCTCCAGGGTCTGCCCTATCCTCAGTAGGGAATCCTAGTCCATAAAGGCCTGTTAGCCTCATGGGCATTCTCCAGGTAAATGTGTGAGGTGAACCCACAAGCCTTGTAACCTGTAGCCTACACTTGCCTTTTCTCCCAATTCCAGGCCCCTCACGCAACGTTTCAGTCGTCGAACAGGAGGAAGAGGTAAAAGCCGCAGGCCACCGCGCTGAGGTAGGGAAGGAAGAGCGGAGTCAGGAAACAGACCTGCTAGAGGTGTCATACAATGTTTGTTATGAATCATGATTTTTAAAAATATATCTTAATCATGGTGGTGATGGTGGTGATTATGATGATAATGATAATGTAGCCAGAAAACTGGTCAGGTTATCTTTTCTTCTCCCTTCACAGGCACTAGAATTATGACATCCCTGGGAAGGATTGGTACTGTACTTTTCATGCACTTGCCTAGTAATTCCTTCAGACACAATAGAACATTTTTGTTGGCAAACAGTTTGTTAAGCTTAAATTGTTTGCTTGAGAGCCTGTAGCTCTTGACTTTAAACCAATTCAGTGCAGGTCTCAGAGAACTACCTGTCTGAAGGTAGTTTGCAAAATATCTAAAGGGAGTGACACAAACCCCATTAATTTTGCATAATTCATACCAATAAGAACAACTTAGCCCTTTTTGATCCTGGAGGGAAGGATTGCAGTTTCATAACAGCAGATGCTGCTAAAACTTCACATTACCTTGAATGCCTCTAAAAATGAACATCCTCAGTGCATATATTTCACAATCTCACATGACCACAGCCATATAGAGGAAGTAACATATAATCTAGGGAGCCTGTGCTGGTCCCTAGTTACAATCACAACTGATACACTTCTCTCCTCACTTTTAGAAGGAAAAAAAATCACTACACAAAATCTTCAGAGAATGAGATACTGAGGCTTCTTCCATGTGGCTATGGTGCCTGATGTGATGGATTTTAAAATGTAAAAACTGGGACATGATGTTTTGTAAGCAAGAAGTCTTACCTCCCCACCAATGCCTTAGCTGGAGAGAAATGGCTTGGGTCTCCTTAGCTGCCCCGATGAAAGATGTAAGGCAGGATGGTGGGGGCTTTCCATACAACCTGCTTCCATCTTCACTCTAATGAAACAGATTCCAGTCCAAAAGTAGGGGCTTAAAACCCTCTGCCCCCTTTGCCAATCAAAATCCAGCTGTTTTCCCCTTATACTCAATGCATGACTGAACAGTTTTCATGGCCTGACACCTCTAATAAGGATAGGGAAATAAGCGGATGGGGAGAAGGAAAGACAGGGTTGGGGAGAAGGAGAAGCTAACCTGTGAGGGGGTTGTCACACTGATTTCTGGGACAAAATTGTCATCAAACAGGTTGATGATGTTCTCCTGCTTCATCTCCTTGGACGGAGTGAGTTTTGGAGGTGGCGGCACAGGAGGGCCTTTTCTCAACTGCATGCAAGCGGACACATGGCGATGGCACAAACAGCAACACCCAAAAAACCAGAGACAGGAACCAGTTAGCAAAAACAGAAAACAAAACAAATGCGCTAAAAACCCACATGTAGAGGGAAGTCAAAACAAGCACACATCGGGGGGAGGAGGGAGAAACGATCACACACTTCCAAAAGAAGGCTTCGCATCATTAGTTACACTTCAGTCATGGGCAGGTCTCTCTTCTGCAGAGGAGAAGCGTAACACAATTAATATGCATAAGATGAGTCATGCATACATAATTAGAGTCTATGCAACCTTCTGGAGTATCAGGATGGGAATTCACATATTACATTAAAAAGTGCTGAGGAGCAAGGGAAGGCAGCAGCACTACTCTTGCCAGCAACACTTATCTGCATATAGAGAAACAAGATACCCAAGCCAGCTAGAACGACTCCTTAAAAAGGCATGTTCCCAACAATACAGAATCCAATATTTATGAGTGACACTCGGTCAGCACCAGTACTCCCAATGAAATTTCTGCAGCCTAAAAAGGATTGGGATTTAAACCAAGAGAAATTGAGTCCAACTCTTTTTGGAGTCTCTGCATTTCTGTGTGACACCCCAGATGTAACGGGTAAAATCGTTCTGGCTGGGAATCTGTATTCTCCTACTGTACATTACAGCAAGGATTTCTTTTTCTCTTCAAGTGAGACACATCAAGATCATACCAAATGAATCAACGACATCTAAACTTTCTTCAGATCCATCTCCCTTCTCAGACCTTCTCTCAGTCTTATGGTTCCAACTAAATATGCTACAACATTCCAAGTAGGTCTAATTTCCAAGTAGAATATCAGAACAAAAGCTTGATTTTCAAAGGTATTTCACTACATGTCCGGCCAAAAACTGTTTCCCTGTCCAAATATCATAGAAAATCTTCCTAGCACTTTGCCTTGCTTGGAAAAACAGATCTTCTTAGATAGTAACATCTTCTTATACAATTAACAACAATCTAAATAATGCAGTAGGAATCTTCAACGGTACAACAGTCAGGGTAGCCTTGCAGTTCAGTGGAAGTGCCAACAAACAAACAAAACAAAACAAAACATTTGCATAAACCACATGTTCTCTTTTTTGGAGTTCTTTGTAATATCCTGATATCCTGTCACTTGTGACATAACTGCTAAATTCAAAGAGCTACATTTAATACACAAGACAGTGCCACAATTGTGTAAGTTGATCAACCTGCTGACAAAAAAGCTTCATATTTCCTAGGGCAGGAATGGGCAGAAGATAGACTGGAACTGACTGGGTAATTTGCAGTAGAATGGTGCGAGTTTATTGTTTTGTTAACACTAGCAATGATAAACACAATTTTAAAAATGTAAATCTAAATTAGAAGTGAAGCAAGCTTGAGGAGAGAGCAGGAGCTCAGTTCTGGTGATGAAAACAAATGTCTAGAATGAGCCATACTCTCACAGGAATTCTGCTTCTTAATTCCAATGCCCTTGTTTCAGATTTTGCCCTGGTTGGTAGACCTCAGGGTTCTAATATAAAACAAAGTCTGTGTTCATCCTGTTTTTGCACAGTCTTCCTAAACTCATTATCTGAAACAGGCAACCTAACTAAGCCTTTTTGCTTACACTAGTGGAAGAACTTCAGAATGCCCTGTGCTCAGCTCTCTTGGGGAAAGATTGTTCCTAGGAGTCAATGCACGATAGCAGAAGGCCTTCATTGCAACCCACTCATACTTTTCAACTCTAAGAATTACCATTTTGCCTTCCCACTACCTGATTAGCATTTCATTTACACCTATATCTATTGAAGATTATAAATCACATGGGAAAAATACACTCCCAGCAGGACAATCTTCTAGCCTAAATTTGGCAATGTGTCACTGTTTTAGAGAAGAAACATTTAAAATAAGACCAGTAGGCTATCCTATGCATATTTAGACAGGAAAAATCCTATAACTGAAGAATGCTGAGAGAGTTGTAATTTCCTCTTCAAATGCTGTTGCATTCAGAAGTCTTTAAAAAAGAAGCACTTCTTTTTCTCTCTCATTATATCAAGTGAACCCACACCTGAGCTCCACCAAAGTAACCTGCAGCATTTTGGCATGTAGATGATTTATTCTTAATCATCTGTTCTCATTGTCATAGGCAAGTTATCTAGCATTCAAATGCAGCTGCCAGAGCTAGCATTTCCTTAGTGTTCAAGACACTTCTCCATCAATGCAGTCTAATCTAATGCTCATACTGCAACATATCATATATTTATTTCTCTGGTGTTTGGTATTGCTGTGTTTTTTTCCCTTGTAATTTATTTAATGTTATAGGTCATTTTCTCATCAAATGGGTACATAATGTACTACCATATTTCATGCAAAAATCTCAGGAGAGATTAATTTCTCTTCACTTTTTCCCCTTTTTTTCTTTCATGGATCCTTTATAATTGAGCAAAAACAAACTAACTAAAATATAACTTTTAAGGTCATTTTTAGCTCCAAAAAGATTCATAAAAGTTTGGCAGGAATATGACAATGTTTTTTTAAAAAAACATTTATTTTGTAATTGATGCACAACAGGAAATTGTCTGATTTTTTTAAAATATTGCATGTTCTTTGCACCGGAAGAAGAGGGTAAGAACAACCAGTCATTTAGCTGAGGAGGGCTTGCCTGAACACAAGTCATCAATATTGCCAAATCATCTTTCCCAAGCTTGTGCTAACATCTCTCGGATTTTATTTCTTCTTCAGCACACCCAGCTTAGTAGTTTGTCTGCAGTGCAGAACTCTGCTAGGAAGTTGTGGTCTAACCGCTAGAAAGACTCCTAAGTGAGTAATAGATTTCCTGCTTTGCAGATGCTATGGACGTTGCCTGCTTATGTTCCATACGATGTTCTTGGGAGAAGCATGCATCTTTCCTTTTGCTGATTTAAAATTCTAGGGCTTTAATGCACATTGAAACTGCCTCTGCTGTGCTACCATCATGTAACAAGCAGAACCTAATGAATGGCATGACTAAGGTTTATTACAGCGGGTAGGTTAGCGAGGCATTGAGAGAGAAGCACCAGATGATGGCAGTGTTCACCATGTATATTTTCTGTTCACGCATTGCCATGGCCAGTCGTCTTTTGTTTTTTGTTTTTTTAAACCTGAGAGAGGTGGTAATATTTTCAGACAGTTCAAGGCAGTAGGACAGCAGCCTTGCTGCCCAAAGTGTGCAGACTCATCTCTCTATTATTTCTGTTCATAGGCTTTGCAAGTCGGGAGGTGTGGGGGGCATGTTAGTGATTCAAAAACCTGCTTGAACCAAGGCAAAGATTGGGAAAACCGTAACAAAGTGCACACACTGTTCCCATAGGTCCTTTGATTCTCTTCAAAAGAATGGTCTGCAACCATTCATATTTATACTATGACATATGAAAACCTAAACAGGGCCTGGATACCCAAAAGAGCATCTCCTTCCATGCACACCTGAGCCCTAAGATCCTCCTCTAAGGTCCTTCTTCAGGAGCCCTCTTTGAAGGAGGCCAGAAGAGTGGCTACTGGAGAAGGGCCTTTTCTGTGGTAGCACCCCAGCTGCAGAACCTGCTTTCCAGAGAGGGGTGCCTGGAACTCACACTTGGTTCATTTTGGTGCCAGGTCAAATCCTTTTTATTTACCTGATATTTTAAGGTTTAATGTTATGATAGGATTTTACTATATGTTTTATATGCTATTTAATTTGTGCGGCTCTTTATTGTAATTGCCATCTTGAGACCCTTGGTATAGATGGGATACAAATGTTTCAATAAATAAAATAAATAAATATTTCCCAGTGTACAAGTGACAGAAGAAGCCTCTTCAACACTTAAGTAGCACTACTTAAGGCTACCTTTCCCAACCTGGTGTATTCCAGATGTTCTCAACTACAACTCCATAATCCTAACCATTAGCCATGTTGGCTGGGGCCAATGAGAGCTGTAGTCCAAAATACGTGGTGAGCACTAGGTTAGAGAAAGGGAAGGGGAGCCAAGGCTCATATAAGCCACTGTTTTCCTCTTATTCATTAATATCTTGCATATATTGTGGTGGTACAGTGGTTAGTACCGCAGTTAGAATTGACTGGCTATTTTAGCCAGACGGTTGAGATTGGCTGTCAGTGAGCCTAACGCTGGGTACTACCCAAAAAGCCAGCTGCCTGGAGTACCACAAAGAAGAGGCACTTTCTGTGATATGGTGTGTGAGAGGCAGTGGAGCTGTGTTATCTGTACTACTCCTGATCCTATTAGGCTGTCTAAATTAGCAACAATTAGCATGTGAGCTGTGGGTTACCACTGCTCCAATTCCTTTCCCCAAAGATACTATTGTCTTAATCCAGCCCGGTCCATGCAAGGCAGCCGACTTCTACTGGCATGCTTAGCTGGATGGGGAAAACACAAAGAAATGAGTGCTACAGGGGAGGTTTATCACGGTGCATGGAATAACCCTTTTAAAAAGAGCAAACAACCCACCTGTCAACTGTTTAGAATGATCTCTATCTCAAAACATCCAAAAGCACCCTTCTTGGAGAAGCTGTTTAAAGTTCCTTGTTAATAAGGGAATACCTGCATTGAAACATTTGAGCTTCTCCATATCTAAGTTGTAATGTATTTCCAAACCAGGTCCAAAGATATTTCATTTGAGCCTAGAACACTTATGGGACAAGCCTTGACATTTGCTTTCTTCCATGGAGTTTACTGTTGGACCACAGGAGATTTCCAATCACGATTATCACATTTTCTTTCATTTGCAATGTCGACCTATTGCACTACAAAAAAATAAGGTAAGGACATAAAAAAATACCACCAGATGTCAAACCCATTTTAAATTTTCTGCTGGGAAGCTATCTTCACTTAGGAACCTATAGCTGAAATCCCGTGTGCATTTACTGGAAATACAGATTGAGCATGTAAAGGATGCATGATGGTTCCTCATAGACGGACATTTTACATCAGTTTAAAATTAGAGTAGGTATTCTGGAATTTACGAGAATATCCTGCATTCTGTATAGCAAGAATTCAACATCCAAAATGATCATTCATAATGTTAGTTATAACCAGCACACCATTCTTATCCTGTTTGGTGCTTTACATGCTAGAACAATCCTACCTTTGCCTGGCCACGTTATGTGCAGAACCTAATTCAGTGCTACTGCTAATATAAATTACACTAGCACTACCATAGGCAACCTCTATGCAGCACACACACACATGTATTGCAAATACTTTTCTACTACTTAACATATTAAAATCCTTAAGTGGCTCAGATAAACATACAACATAGCAGTATAGAAACAACATAAAATTAAAATTAAAAACAATACAATAATCATAATAATAAAGCAGGGTGGCAAGAGTCTCTGTCTCAGGTCAGGGAAATCTTGTGTGAATAGTATTTTCTGAGCAAACCCATCACACCAGTAAACACAGTGGGCATTGCACTAGAGACTATTTATGGTAGTGCAACATTAGCAGTAACATTGAATTTATGGTAGCAGGAGTATTTAATTAGATACTTCTCGTAATTCAGAAAACTGTAGAAATATTTTTAAGCCTGGTTCATAACTCTGATATTTCCCTGCTGTAACCCTTTTGATTGGGCAGAAGTTACCATTGCTACTGTTAAGTGACTGGTAGAATCCCCAGTAGCCGAACTAGCAATAGTATAACCTACAGTGGACCACCCCGACTTTCAGATACAGGTTTCACATGCTGTTCATTATCACAGATCTGTAACTGCCAGTCTACAGTTGTTCTTCCTCCAGTGCTTGGCTTTTGCTGGCCATTGTGATCACATTGACCACTCAAAAATGATATGATTCTGTTTAAAGAGGTTAGGTCCAGGCCTGTGCACATAAAGCTACAGAGAAGGAGGGAAAAAAATCTTTAAAATTGGTTTTTGGGGTTTCTTGCAGCCAATACAATTCACTTACCTGTTCTATGTCTGCTCAGGAGAACACAATTCATTACACATATGTCTTAACTTGCAAAATGGTCATAAACACACACTATCTTCCTTATACTACTGCTGGTTTGAGTGATGACCTATGTCACTAGTTCTTCCAGAGTGTGCATGCCAGTGTAAGCCTTCTTAACTTAGGCATGTCTCTCCTTGATCTTATGTAGAATGTACTACCTATTACATAAAAAGGCCTGCTTAGTATACACGCAGTTATGTTGAAGAGGAAGTACTGTTGCTTGTTTCTAGACAAAGAGACTGGATCAGGCAGATACAACATATGAGAGGGAGCCTAGATGCTACAGAATCATCAACATTGTCCAGAATTATTAAAGCACACAAACGGAGAGAAGACAATTGTTCTGCATACAGTAACAGTGAGAAAACAGGAATAAGGTTGATATATATGCCCCCAGAGAAAATGCAGCAGCAGTCCTCACTACCTGAGAAGGAGACTTAGGGATGCCTCCTCCAGGTGCTTCCAAAGCGGATGGCTCTGGCTCATGGTTGATGGCCTTGGTCTCAGGGCTGGTGATGGGAGTCCCATCAGGTGGAGATGTGGGGGGTTTGTTTGGTTTTGTACTATCACTGCAAGAGAAAGAGAGGGAGAATGTTTCGGAATCAGCATAGGAACACATCTTTTTATTAGAGATAGATTGTGTAGGAATGTTTCTTTCTCCATTGCAGGGTATACTTCACAGTATATCGACTAATCCTACTATACTTTATATATACATACATATGCCATATCAAAAGAAGACAAAAATAATGCAGAGCAGCACAGTTTCAAGGCCATAAGACAATGCCCAACATAGAAATAGTTTAAGAGAGGAGGGAAGGTGTCTTTTTTTCTTTTTTCTTTTTTTTTTCTCTTTTTTTGGCAGAATCTAACAACGTGCTGATGATAGCCAGTTGGCCCACAGTGATGCTACATACTCTTCCTGTCAAATTTCACATGAACCTAAATTCATAGTTTGCCACTGTTGTTGTTGTTGTTAGTCGTGAAGTCGTGTCTGACCTATCGCAACCCCATGGTCAACATTCCTCCAGGCCTTCCTGTCCTCCACCATCCCCAGGAGTCCACTCAAGCTCACACCAACTGCTTCAGTGACTCCATCCAGCCACCTCATCCTCTGCCGCCCCCTTCTTCTTTTGCCATCTATTGTTCCCAGCATTAGGCTCTTCTCCAGGGAGTCCTTTCTTCTCATTAGGTGGCCAAAGTATTTGAGCTTCATCTTCAGTATCTAGCCTTCTTTTTACAGGTTTTTAAAAATACATACAGTTTGCCACTGTGTGTATTTTTAAAAACCTGTAAAACAGCTACTGTTGTAGGGTGGCACCTGAGGAGATGAAGTTTAACATACTGCTCCAACAGTACAATCCAATTTAAGTCCACATGGGAAGTCGCCAATAGGAATTTCCCTATCTTGCCAAATAGCAGCTTGAGCTGGACAGAATAGTTTGCAACAACAACAACATAAAGTTCGAAGAAAGAATTTTTAAAACCCTTGTTGCACACTGTAGTCCCAATCCTGATACATGTAATGCCAAAATATGTGTTTAATATCACATTTAGTTTTCTCCTTGAATAAAGTAATTTGCTTATGTCCTATGATTTCAACAATAAAGGGTTGTTGTTTAAAACATTAAAACTAAGCAGTAATTAAAATTAAACTCCAAGCAGGAATAGAGTCCTTAATGGTTATTCACCATTCTACACAATGGTATTGCACAATACTTTGATCTCCAAAGCATGCAATTGATTGGCTAGCCATGATGCTTACAGACATATACCAAAAAATGGGGCAAATGACTTGATATTTTAAACAAAAATAGTAGAAGGCACAAGAATGGTGCAGACAAGCTCTTTTAAATCACATGATTCTTGGAAAGCAATAATGAGAGCTTGTTTCTCATACCATATTTTGTCATCTCAGTATTCAGATCTTTTTAAAAAGCCAGTTACTCTAGCAACAGAGCAAAATGCAGAAACTCATTTCCTCTAAATAACTGAGCATTCACACTAGCAAGTCAATCCCACCAAATTTCATAGGAAGGTAAAAATACATAGGTCCTAGTTCTAAGATGATCCATAATTGTTGACTGATGGAGGATCACATGGAAGGTGGTGATGCCAGAAAAGAAATGAGGACCACCAGCACACATCCCAATCAGCTCAACCTCCTTCTGCCTTTTATTTTGCCTGTGACCCGTTTCAGCTCTCAAATCATTTCAAAGGACACACACACTTGTAAAAGGATGGGAAGGAAGCAATCGGCATTTCTTGCTTTTAAATCACTCAGTAACATCAGCCACCATGCTTTTTTTTTTCCAGCAAGCTAATTAACATATGTACATGTCATGTAACACCTCATCTCCCCTTCCCTATGTTTTCTAAGTGTACGTTATTTCTCAGCAAAAGACTGGCTTTCTTCATCTTTATAACTGTAACTTGACCTTTCAGGATAGAAAATTTATGCCATTCAAGGTTATCGTAAGAGTAATAGGAAGGAAGAATGTGGGGAGGGAGGAAATGAGATAGCTTTGTTATCAACTTGCAAGAAGAAAGGACAAGAGGCAGAAACATATCTTCCACAAGGAAAAGAAGATACTTGCTCCTATATTTTCTCATATAGGAGCTCACTTTCATTTTCAACCATCATAAATCTTCAAAAACGTTCCTTCATTTAAAAGGAAATCTGAGTGGCATAACAGTAATATGGTTCAAAATGTTGACTTTCTAGAAGGAAAGTCAGCAAGAAAAGGAAGGAGGACACTAGCAGTGCTGTGATTTTGCCACTCACATTGAAAAAGGCTCCAAATGTTATATAAGAGAGGGCCCCATAAACTGTCTTAACTATACAGGAATTCTACACACGTGCACACCCATTTCTACGTACTGAGCTCTGCAACACTGTGCTCCACCCAGTTGAGTTTACTCCTTTTCCCAGTGTCTACCAACTTTCCTTAGAACAACACAGCCAGTATTACATCCCTCAGAGTCCAAGCTCTTCTAGGGGCTTGATAGAAGCCTTGCAGCTCTGAGCTACCAGACAGAAATTCAACAACAAATGATAAGCAGAAGCTTTGTGTCGTGCAATGGTTCAAGGCATAAGTGAGGAAAATTCCAGTTCTGTCCTCATAATGTATCACTATGGATGCATGGATAAAAGCAAGTGCTTTTCCCTATCTGGAAGGGCCAATGTCATTGCCCACTATGGCAACAAGGGCTATTTAACCCATGAGTCACCTATCTGTAGAAGTCTGCACTATATAGATAGAGCATGATGTATCTCCAAGGTGTATACTTTGGGAAAAGTAAAGGTTTTTCATTTTGATGTTTATACATTGCCAAAATGCAAAGGAATTAAGAGATTAAAACAAAGTGTGTGGGATATATAGCCATTAATTGGATTATTCAGACACACATACACAATCTAAAATTCCAAGACAAAATAGTTCGAATCATGCAAAAAAACTCTGTTATAGTCACCAAGCTAAAAACGCAGTTTGCTGTTAGAATACAGCCTGGTCTCTGGCTTTTGCATCCAACTCAGAGCATACAGGCAAATGCAGCTTGCCGTACTGGTACCTGCTGATCTTTTTCCTCAGCCTGGAGAACAGTTTAGTTTTCTTTCTGTTGAGGACGGCACACGTAAGTGATCTCCATTACAACACGGCTCAACCAATGAGAAAGAAAGGTGAAGATTCCGTGCATGAGCTAACACAGTTACCATGAAGATATTCATTCAAAGAGGACCTACAGAGCCTTCTCCCAATGTAAATCAGATATGCTTGGTGGTAGAGGAGGTTGTGGTGGTGCTGGTGCTGTGTGTGCATGTGTGTGTGTGCACAATGGACATCCACTAAGTATTATGTAAATGCTTAGAGAATGAAGAAGGGAGAGAGAGGGAAATGCTATTAACTCAGAAGCTAAGCAAGGCAGCAAAGGGCTGTGTTGGGAACTGGATACCCTCTGGCCAAACACAGTATCAAAGGAAAGCCAGCTTCCATAAAATCAGTATAATATTTAAATGGTTTGAATGACCATGATGCATTGGCAAGTGTGCCAGGCGAGTTCCAATCTCAGAAGCTACTTTCTGTTGTTATTCTTATCCAAAATCTTTTCAGATTTATTTTCATTCCCTTTTCACTAATATATACAGAATACTGGCTTATTTCAAAGGGTTTTTAAAAGTCTCCTTTACTTATACTGAAAGGTATTGATTTTATACTGAAATATATTCACTAGGGAGTTAACTTTTAAACAATACTTTTGCTTATATATAATTGGCACAATATTATCTAAATTCTACTGGCCTTTTAATCCTTCCTTTTCCATTACATGATACATTCCTGCCAAGCCCTCTCTTTTGACTTGCTTCAAAGCAAGAATAGCTCTTCAAAACAAAATGGCTGCTTCAAGTATGGCAAAACACCTTCCAAAGTATTTCTGAAGATGAAGCTGTAGTGCTGAAATCAAGACTGAGTTACAGTTAAGAAGCAAGAACAAAGCAAGCTTGTATTAAAGGAATCTAATCAAATTGCACTCTGCAGAGTGCCTATCACTTCCTATGCATGTCTATAAGGAAGCAAGTCCCATTAAGTGGGGCTTACTCCCATGTAAATGTGTATTGCACAGCACCCTAAATGGTGCACATTAATCAACTTCAGTTTCTTTCCTCATGATACTATGTTGGCTTGCTTAGTACATTCTGTTGATTAAGTTCTTTTGATGCTGAATTCAGTCCTAACCCTGTGTTTGTTTGGTCTCTCCCACTCTCCTTTCATTCTTCTTGTGCCTTGTCCTTTAATTTTATGCTGTTAACAAAGGTAGGTTTTATTAGCATTGTGTAGAAATGTGTTCATGGATGGCTGATGAGTAACCACTTTATATCTCTGGGATCCAGCTCATTGACAAATGTGTATCAGCTATACATTTCCCCTTATGTGTTATCTATTTATTTGGTGCATGTGTGAGAGAGTACAAGTAAAGCAGTTGGCTAACACAGATAAGGACCCCTGCTAACTTCCATTTGCTTTCTGAAAGCAGAACATTCAAGCCTTTCCCTAATGCTGGCTTGGCACATTCATCTCATTACTGCACATACAGCAACAGGGACTTAGAGCAGCTGGGAGTCCAACTTCCCAAATTGCTTCATCACTCATATATTTGGGTGAGAGCCAGAGACCATCTCATCCAACAAGTGAGGCCTACCTTTCCCTTCACTGTAAGAGCTGAGGGTGGGGGAGAAGATGCATGTATTTACACAATCCTAACCGATTTACCCTATTCCTGGCATTGCTCCTAAGTAGTGCTGGTTTCTTCAGACAAATGGATTTCTTTACAAAGAATCGTAGGATATATTGATTGAAGAGAGGCAGTAAGTTCCTGGATGAGTCCCTCAAAGCGTTTGTAAAAGCAGAAACTAATGCATGGTTACTAACGTCACTCACATTTTTCCTTCAGCAATTCAAAACTACCCTATTTATGCAACAATTCTAATAAAAGGCATCTCTTATACCTTCAGGCAATCATGAAAACAATTGCCTATTACTGTATGTTTTCAGTAAAGATATTTCTCAAGATAAGACTTCCAAAAGACTAAAAGGTATCCATTTTAGACAGGTTACACCCTGTTCTGACAATGACCAGAGATGCAACTTCTTCCCCTTTTGAGAAATCACACAAGGAAAGCACATCAGGATACTAAATCAAGGCTTGAAGTTGATTTAATATTTTGACTTTTTCCAAAGTTGGTTCCAAAAGCCAAAATGTTCTGGTTTGAATGATGAGATGATCATCTAAAATTCACCTACTGGCTTGGTTCATACGCAAAGTTAAACTCTGTTTTATTTAGCTCATGGTTTCTTGCCCCGCCCAGGATTTGTCTGTCAGGCAAACAAACAAACCATGACATTTTTTATTTAATTCCTGGGTTGTTTTCCTCCTCCTTTGCTTGCTTCATCCCTATATTCCAAAATCTTTGCAGCACTGTAATACTGACATATAAAGCAGATGATTTTCTTAACTACTTTTGCATACCAACTCTAGGCTGGTAAAGCAGCCCATGAACCAGTCCTATAAACCCACAACCCATAAATCACAAGTGAACAACTAACCATGAATTTTCTGAGTTGTTCAAGGTAAACAAACCACAGTTTGCTAGCATGCCTGCAATCACACATCACAACAACCCAGAATTCAAGAACCCATGCCATAGGTTAGAGTTATGTACAAACCAGGACAGTATGTCTGGTTGGATGACAAGGCATCACAGCACCATTTGACTTTTAGCTGTTCATGGCCTGCTTCATCCATTCTACTGACTTTGCAAGTGTATTTTAAATATGTCTGACATGAACCCCCATGTTCATGTTCTTAAGAACATTATGGTAGATCAGATCAATGGTCCATCTGGTCCAGCATACTGTTCACAGAATGGCCAACAGCTGCCCATGGGATCCCGCATGCAAGATATGAGTGCCACGGCAGCTTCTTGCCCAACTTCCCCAGCAACTGGTGCCTCTTAATAATATGAATGATAAGTAAAAGAGTCAAGGAGCTCAAAGGGCCAGCCTTTAGCCCCCAGAGCTGAGAATAAGGTTTATTATTATTTATTGTTATTTTTATAGCACCATCAATGTGCATGGCATTTTACAGAGTAAAAGAATGAACAATTCCCTGCCCCAAGGAGCTTACAATCTGATGTATGACAAAGGGAGAAAAAACAGAGGGAGGGGAGGGAAGGGGAGGGGAGGGGAGGGGAGGGGAGGGGAGGCAAGGATAAATAGGGAAAGAACATGTTATTAGTTCAGTTACACATATTTATGCTTAGTTATAGACTGAGTTATTTAAAGGCACAGGAACTAGGAAATTGTGCCAACCATTACCACCTTTAAAGAGTAGTCCAGCATACAGAAATGCACTGCATCTCTTCAGCAAAAAAAAAAAAAGTTTCAGTTGCTAAATTTCTGAATGTCAGTCTGCTCTTAAAAACACAGAAACAGGGCCAGGAAAAAAAAAAACAAGAGAGATGACAGCTATAACTGCATGTTCTATTCACAAAGAAGCAAATAGCATTATAAAACCTGTTCAGGCATGCTCCATTTGTACAGAATCAATAGGTGAGGAGAAGGAACGCTCCAGCTCTGCTTGCCTCCTCATGCTTTCTCTATTGGCCTCTTTCTGTGTAGACTAATCATTTGTAGAGGAGAGCTTACTGCACCTATGGAGGCTTCCCACATGAGCCAAGGCCCTGGAAAATCATGCACCTGCCTCTCGCTAGGAGCTTCCAGGGGTCCAGGAAGCGCTCCTCGTCAAACTCTGTCTACACAAACATAGGACAACAGACATACAGGGTTACAGCCTGCTACCCTATGCAAGTACTATACAGGGTGGGGGAAATGTGTGAGAAGGGAGACTGGCATGCTTCTCTCCTTACAGCTGGATTCTACATACATTAAGGATGCTTGAACACAGCTCTTGTTTCACCCCTCTTCTTGATTATCAACCCTTTTTCCTGCCCTTCAGGCATGACTGTATTAAAATAAGTTGGTTTGTAATAAAATACTTAAAAAAATAAGTGCCTATGTCTTCATGTTCAGTAGATGTGAAGAAGCGTATGTTGTTTCATGCACATGGAGAAATGGCACTCTTGCATGTCTGCAGTATGACAATGAGAGAAAAGCACTGGCTGAGCCAATTCTTGGGGTGTCAGGATGGAAGTCAAGAGAGACAACGGGCCTGATTAAATGCCAGCGTGAAATAAAAGACCCAGTTAAGAGAATAAGGCAAACAATCACTGTGCTGCCCCCCTTCCCCACAATGCAAAGAGATTTCCCCATATTCCTTGAGAGAGAAACACTAGTCAGTGCTTACTAACCTTGGTTGAGCTTTAACAGGATAGGTGCTTGTTGCACGCTCTTTCTCTAGAGTTGTAAGGACATCATTCAAGTTTTGGTTCAACTGAAACAAAATTTTAGAAATATTTAAATAAAGTGTAACAAAGAGAGAAAGATGGAAGGTCAGTGTATCAGAATCCCATGACGGCGTATCTAGGCTTCCAGGCCAAGATCAGTGCACTGAAAGACTTGTTCATCCATTGGCATTTCTCCTAATTCATGGTGACATAATGCAAAAGCACCAATACTGTGGGCATCATCTGACTTCCAGGAACAGGTGCCGCATGAGTGAAGTCTGTGTCTCATTTATAAAACAAATTCAGCTCATGTTTCTTCTGTTTCCTGCCTTTTCTCCCTCTCTGCCCCTTCAGTCAAATACTTGTCCTGCTATGGGACTTTGCGTCAACACAGGCCCTTTATTCCTCCCTGGGATTTAATGCTATCCTTCTGCTCTCTCTTCCCATCTGCAGCCAGGAACTTTGCCTGCAATCGCAGCCTTGGTTGCCATGGAACCACTGTTTGTCACAAAACAAGATGTTAGGCCACACTTCACATTCGCGATGGAGGAAAGTGGGATTTCATCTATGCCGGCAGCAACGTGCCCGCCCCAGCGGCAATTCAAATGACCTTCTCTGGTTCTAATAAAATGAAGATATCTTATAAGGAGAGAGACCTTTCACATACATATCCCTTTTGCTAAGGGAAAAATGTGAAGAACTGGATTATAAAGTCTTGTCACCAAATAGTAACAGATTGCTCAAAGGTTTTTTCTCATGAAATACTAGTGTTGGAAAAATGTGTCACTGCCTAGCATAAACCTGAACTACACTATTTGTTCCTAGCATTGTTGACTCAATTTAAATAGGACTATGAAACCTGTATCGTTTCATATGGTTTGGACTATATCACTCATTAATCCTATGCAACATGGCCTATAGTCAGCCCAGAACTATGTGGAAGGATTCGGGGGGAAAATCCAATTGCAGTATGAAGGACAGCTAGTCAATGTGTGCACATTCCCATAGCTAGAGATGACATTAACTTGTTGAATTTCTGCTTGCCCTTGGCCTAGAATATCATTCTGGAAACTCACGATGCCAAACTTGTTGTGAATGGGAGACACCTAATTCCTGTAAATATTTATTTGACTTATTTATTAAATTTACACAGTCAATCCATAACATGTTTTCTGGGCAGTCACAAAATCAGGTTGCATTTTAGCACTGCACAAATTTATACTGACTGTTCAGATATCACAGAATTTGTGCAGAACTGTGGAGGAAGGGGGTGGAAGCAAAAGCTTTTCCCACCTCAAATAATCTAGATAATTATTTCAGGCTAAGGACATAATTTGAAGGTACATGATACAACAATATACTGAAGCTAAGTAAGTGTGAAACAGAAAGAGCCCACCTGGATCAGAGACCACTAAGGAAACACATACGCATTTTTTTCCATGAAGGAAGAAAAACAGAATATTAAATAAACAAGTAAAATGGATATTAGAATTCAATATGCATTTTCCTTAGAATATCCAATCAGTCAATGCACCTTGTATCATTTGTTACTGTTATTTACATCTCAATATTGCCTTAAGCTACTTCTATGTTGATCATTGCCAAACACACAAGACTCTAAATTCCCTAAAATGGCAATTAAATGACTGTAAATGAAAGCAACTTAAATAAATGTCTGTAATTTACTTATTCTCTATCTGATTTTTAGAATATTAAACTTGCCTGTTCACTGCTGTAGACTTTGTTTTGAATTCAGAGAAGGAGAGAGATAATTCACTTCACTGTAAGTTCACTTCAGAATTTCAGACATGGAAGCCAAATTCAGATCTCCTGGGGTCACAACCCAGCCCTTCAGAATTCCCCAGGCAGTGACACCCCTTTCCCAGCCACATTCCCCTAACTACCAAATGTTGGCATTTACCCAGGATTTGTACAACATTTTCTCCATAATGAAAGATCGAAATGCTTGGCCCTGAGCCTTTTAACTTTGATGCCACACCTTCTACCTTCAGCTCCCACCCACAACTGCTTCTCAAAAAGGGAATATGGTCCTTGGACTGAATGAGGCTCTGCACCCCTGTGCTAATGAGCAGAAGCAATACTGAAGAACTTTCATATATATACACTGAATACTATGAAGCAACTGCAGAACCTATATACATTAAGCATTAAACGAAAGCTCCTTACAGATTGGTACCTATTATCAGTCAATTAGAGCAGTCAGTACGATGATTCAATATTATCACTGGGTCTCAAAATCTGTCACAGTAGAGCTTCCATAAGCATTCCAAATGTTAATAACCATGAATTAATTAACAGAACTCAGCAGCAACCCAGAAGCCTGTATTGCCAGGCTATACGAAATAATGGCTTTGTGTTGTTTATCTTTCTTCTCTGAGAAAACTCAAAGCAGAAGATATTTTGTTCCTATATATCCTATATTGGCAATTTCCCAACCAGGTATTGACCTTGCCCAGACCTACTTCTGCAAATTTGCTACCCTGTGTGCCTTCAGACCATACCCCAGGTCTGGCTTCACAGGTACTTAAGGGGAAACTAGTGCAGTAGAAGACTGTGACATTAATTGGAAATTGTGTTGTGAGCATTATCAACTGCTCTTGTAAGAGTGACTGAGAAAATTTGTAGGGGAGAAGCCAGATGCTATTATCACTGGTCCTCAAAAAGAACAAAGGTGTTGTCCATCTTTACCTTGCTCATTTCCTTATGAAAGTTCTCTTCTAAGCCAGCGATACTCTGGAATGTGTTGACATAGAAACCAACACGACTGGTAAATGAAACATAATACAAGTCAGTGAAGGTACAAGCAGGTGATTCTTCTGATTCTCATCATTTCAGTCTCATCCCTTGTTAACAGACTTCTGTTTCCTCCAAGTATTTAGTAGTAGGCTTGAACACATGCCCTCCACTCAACAAAGGAAACTGAAAGGATACACACTTTAATTCAGGGGTCTCAAATTCGCGGCCCGCGGGCCAATTGCCGGGATGGACGGGGCACGGGGGAGGGGCCCTGCGGGCTTCAAAGTGCCGGCGGCACCTGGGCTGGCCTCCGGGAGCGATGCGGGATGAGTGGCCCAGCACCACCGCGGTGGTGGAATACTTGATGCGGCCCAGCCTCACCCAGACTCTACTTCCAGCGGTCCCCAGGTAAGTTGAGTTTGAGACCCCTGCTTTAATTGGTCTTGGAACCATAATCAGTCAAGATCTCTTTAACATCCACCCACCCACCCACCCAGTAAATACAGAAACATGATACATAGCTGTCTCCAGTGCTCACCTATTCCATAGAGAAGGCAGTTCTTCCTGAAGATCAATGTTCATTTCCTCAAACACTTTCTGGGCTTTGACTAATTCTTCTTCAGCCTGGAGAAAAGATGGAGAAAATATCAACACTGCTGTGACACTCTGGGGAGAGTTTTGCATGAGGTTGTTGCATATTTTAGAGACTGGTATTCTACACTGCCTGATCTCCCCTGGTCCCCTTCTATAAAGGGATAGGTGTGCCAAAACTGCTCCAAGGAAGCTCTGATTCTTGCAATTGAAGATATCCTGAATGCTCTCCAATTGTGTCATTAGATGTGATGTGGAATGTGATGTGGATAATGAAGGAGCTGGAAGTTTACGTGCCTTGCACTTCCTGTTCTTTCACATCTTCATCCCATTACTTAGTGTCCAATCCATTAAGCCTTACATTTAAGTCATAGTAGAACAAATGGATTTTAATAAGCCACATGGAATTTCTGAATCCTGCTACACACTTGTGGAAACAAATACGAACTTGGGCTACCAGGAAACATGAAGGATTGTGAGATCCATAGCTGTCAGAGCAGAATGTTAATTCAGGCCAAAGCAGATTATGAGAACTCTCAGACTTTCCTGGAAACCCTAGGGTGCTCCTCTCATGCAGAGGTTGGTGACCGAGACCAAGACTCCACAACATAACCCATCTCACGCAGAGGACCCTGCCATGGGATACCACAGGGCTCCATTCTATCCCCTCTGCTATTTAACATCTATATGAAACCGCTGGGAGAGGTCATCAGGAGGTGTGGGCTGCGGAATCATCAATACGCTGATGATACCCAGCTTTACCTCTCGTTTTCCACTAATCCAGGTGAGGCAGTGGCTGTGCTGAACCGGTGCTTGGCCGAGGTAAGGGAATGGATGAGGGCAAATAAACTGAAACTCAACCCAGACAAGACGGAGGTCCTGTTGGTTGGCGGATCGGGCTTCGGAGAGGGTGGATTTGACCTGGTCCTGAATGGTGCAACACTCCCTCTTAGGGATAAGGTCCGCAGCTTAGGAGTACTCCTCGACCCGGAGCTTTCTTTGGAAGCTCAGGTGACAGCGGTGGTGAGGAACGCCTTCCTTCAGCTTTGGCTGATTAATCAGCTGCGCCCCTACCTGGAGTACGACTGCCTGGCGACAGTGACACACGCGCTGGTGACTTCCCGCCTAGACTTCTGTAATGCGCTTTACGTGGGGCTTCCCCTGAAGACAGTCCGAACACGTCAACTGGTGCAAAATAGAGCTGCCAGGTTGCTGACGGGGATGGGGCGTTATGCTCACATGACTCCAGTCCTCCGTCAGCTTCACTGGCTTCCCATTGAAGCCCGGGCCCAATTCAAGGTGTTGATTATGACCTATAAAGCCCTAAACGGCTTGGGTCCTGGCTACCTGAACGAGCGCTTACGTCCGTATATGCCCGACCGCCCTTTGAGATCTGCGGGAGAGTCCCTTCTCCGGGAACCCTCCATGAAAGAAATTAGGAGAGTAAGTACTCAGAGGAGGGCTTTCTCTGCGGTGGCACCCAACCTATGGAATTCACTCCCCAAAGAGGTCCGCCTGGCACCATCGTTACTGGTTTTTCGGCGCCAGGTAAAGACCTTTTTATTTAAACATCATTTTAATTGTTAAAACATATGATCTGGCCAGGGCAACTTCTTCTTCCTTCTCTTTCTCCTTCTATATTTTTATTTACTTATTTATACTGATAATTTTAATCTTATATTTGTAAATCAATGTATTTTTTGTATTTTTGTATTTAATGGTAATTTATTATGTGCTATTGTATTTCAATGTATTTTATCGTGTTGTAAGCCGCCCCGAGGTTTCAGCAAGGGGCGGCATAGAAATGTTATAATAATAATAAATAATAATAATTAGGAGGCACAGACCCCAAATGGAAATCAATTTCTACTTTCTGTCAAAATAAACCATCCATTTTCTAATTAGGAATCCTCATTGCAATTAACACCAGTCTCACATTGCACTCAATAGTTCCCTTTATTACTGCCCACTCTTTACTTTCTGCTTTGCCTTCCCATTGCCCCATCCTTAATATGGTGAGAATTCTAATAAATAGTTGTAGGACTGCAAGTGCAAATTGCTAAGAGTGGGATTCCTAAATAACACATCTAACAACCTTCCCCTCAACTTGATTCCTTGATCAAAACACTTTTACAATGATGCTGGGAAAAGATGGACTGCATACCATCAAGTGCTACCACGGATTCACAACCAGATGGAATTCTGTGGAAGTGGGGATCCTGCAATGTTCAGCTCAATGTACATCTGAAAAGGATATAAGATTGACACTCCCCATGGGTTTAACACTACCCCTAAGGAAGTGGTAAATGGTCAAACACACTACTAGCAATGTTTTACTTCTACCAGAAAGTATTCTGTTTCAGAGGATTCATTTGGTATGACCTACAACCTAGTAAAATGTGGAGAAACTGTGCATCTAGAGTCCTATCAAACCAGAAGCAGGAAATATATAGACAAACTGCTTAGAATTTGTCATAGAGCAGGAAAGTCCCAACCATTATGGACAACTTATCGTAGAATTCATCACTGTCATTGACTGAACTTCTGGATTCTCATATTGTCATAGAAAGGTCTTTGTTCTGCACTTCTTACCATTGTCAAGAAATACAAGGGAGATTCCAACCTGACTGTGTAGGCTACTTGTATCTCAAACACTCTACAATACAGAGTTAGATCCCTTGGCTAAAGCATAGCGAATTGGCTTGCTATAAAGCGATCCTGATTGCTTAAATATGGGAAAAAAATCATTCCCCATGTATGAATTAATATTTTTACATTTCCGGAAAACAAAAATGAAAAAAGGACAATGGGGAGAAAATAACATTCAATTATGTTTAAAAATGGCTGAATCAATCAATGACCAGAATTTGGTAGCAAAGTTGAAGTTTGGCACACATTAACTATGAGTTATTAATCTGCTCTTCAGTACTGCACTGTATGTCTGCACTATTCACGTTCCACAGCCAAAGGAACTTTAAAAAGTGATCTATGTGAGCATGTATTCGTGGCATCCCATTGGGGCTGACAAAGTAACACCCATGTAATGTTCAGTCTAGAGATGAGCAAAAAAAAAAAAAAAGATTTTTAAGCTCAGTCAACAATCTGAAAACCAAGCAGAGGGACATACGTACATAAGAAAAGGAAAAAATAGAGGAATATTATAGAGAACATCCAGTTATTTCATGCAGAAATCTCTAATTCAGTGCCTATGTCTTAGGACTACTTTCCATACTACATCTTTGTCACTAAAAGTGGAATTCTATGCATGCTGAGACAGAAAAAAGTCTTAAAATCCTACCATTCCTGGATTAGTGTAATGTGCCCTATGTGGGGCTGCCCTTGAAAATGGTCCAGTCATCAGAGGCCCTTCTCTGTATCCCTCCCTCCAGTGAAGTTGAGGGAGAGATGGCAACGAGAACGGCTTTTTTCATGATAGTGCCCCAACTCTGGAATTCTCTCCCATCACAGATTTGGCTGGTACCTTTACCTACTCTTTACATCTTTAGGAGCCAGTCAAAAGCCTTTCTCTTCCATAAGTACATTGGTGGGAGAGCTGCCTGGTTTACTGTTCAATGGTTTTAATGATTTATGCTGTCTTTCTGCTGCCATATTTTTATTTCAATGATGATTTTATTATGTATAATTTCTATATGTTTTATTAAGGTCATTTTACTATTTGTTTGGTTTTACGCTATGATAATTGTATTGTTTTAATCATGCTGTGACCTGCCCAGAGAGCCTATGGCTAATGGGGTTGCATACATGTTAATTAAATAAATAAGAAACAATGGGTTGGATCCTAGCTTTGTTTTCCTTAAAAACAAAGAGGCCTGTCAGTCATGACTATCATATTTTCAATATCACTTAAACAGATTGCGCATATGATCTGGATTCCCTGTAGATTAACAATTCAATAATTGCAGCTTTTAAAAACTGGAATTTGAGATTTCATTAAATATTTGGTCCCATTGTGATTTGCTTTCATTTCTATTAAGAAATGTTTGCATTCGGCAAGACGTAGGAAAGGGTTTGCTAAGTTGTTGGTTCCAGGCCTGTCTCACAAGGCAAACATCTGCATTGCTTTTAGTCAGCAATTCAGCAAAGTTGTAGGAAGAAGGGAATTTGCTACTCTCAGCAGTTTGTCTCTATCCACCCATCCACCCCTCCCCACCACCCTGAAAAAGTGAATAGGTTCCAAAATGGAACATGCTGCTGGACATGTAGTTTTGTTTTACAGTTGATCTGTGGATACTTCCATGCATCTTTCTCATTTATCTATGAAGGGCCCACATTCCTATTTTAATTGCTGTAGCGTGGAAGAGGCGTTCTCTATGCAGCAGTATTTGTTGCCAAGCACCAATGAAAGACTGGGATTATGACAGAAAGCAAGAAATTGAAAGCTTGCTCACATATTTGAGTCAGATACATTTTGATTAAGATCTGCAGAATATGCCTCAAAAAACTGAAGAGCAGCTGCTGGCTCTCTAGATTGGGCTCAAGATATGGACACCAAGGCAATTTGTATGAGAAACACTAGGTCAGATTCAACTGAAATCCTTCTGACAGACTATTAAATTAACCTAATGGATCAGATTGGGCAGTTCTACCAAAAGAAACAAGCTAAATAGGAACACAGGAAATCCAACCAGCTGAAACAAGACCATTCCCACCAAGCCAAAACTTTTTACGTTCTTAATAAACAAATAAAATGTCCAAGCCACAAAATATATGGTAAATCTGTTTAGCATCCCTATTGCATAGGCAGAGGATCAAAGATTGACCCAGACATTTTAATAGCTCCCTATAAAGTTTGGAAAAAACAAATATCCTCACCAACATCCACACAGATGTTTAGGCTACAAATCCCAAATGCCCCAAAGACTTGTGGGAATTGCAGTCTGGATCATCTGGAAGATCCAAGCTGGACAAGGCTACTTTAAATATCCAGGAACACGCAAGAATGAAAGTCCTAATTTACTAGCCAGTTCAGGAGAGGCAAGGAGTTTCTCAAGAACATAAAAAAAAGTTTCCTTTCAGCCAAGATAATGAATTACTGTACTTTAGCAACAGAGTATTTGTTTCTCTTTCTCCATTCTCCATCTCTCATCTGCCAGTTGCATAATTTAGTCTTCCCCCAACACTGCCAAAATGGAATCTAGCAAGGAGATCATTGTTTTCCTCCTACATGGCAAGTAGATGTCTAGTAACTTCCATGGGCTTATTGCTGATTGCTTCCTATGACTCTCAAGAATTCTTGCCAAAATTCTATTTTAACTGGCTCCCATGTTTCCCCAATATGTTTGGGAACTGGAGTTTGAAAAACTCCACAGTCCAGGCCCATTTCTCATCCAAAGAAGAACGAACCTCAAAAATATGTAGAAACCTTTCTAGTGCTTGCTCTAAATCCAGTTACAAAATGTTTGGATTTTAGAGAAGGCTGAACTATGAAGCGTGAGATATAAATGGAGGATGAAATTCACAAGAAACTCACCAGAGTTGCAGGCAATTTAAGGATAGGCGATTCAAGTTAGAAAATGGATTTCCCACCTCCCTGCTCATGATTGCTCAGAGAGAGGCAAAGAGAGGTGGGAGAAAGGAGAAGAGAGATAGCAGTGCTATCATCCCCAGCACTCCCAAATGAAACATTTCCCAAGAATTAATGTCTAGGTTGGGCAGTGGGGAATAGTGATTATTGACAAGGGATCATGAAAGGGCAACAGAAGATTGACATTTGATTGAGGAGTGGTCAATGCAGAAGCATTGCTATGAAGCTTTTTACAGATAACTTTTAGACTTACTAACAGCTAATAAGAAAGAGGAACAGCTGTAAAAACAACAGATATGGGCTTTTCACCTTAGGCTTCTTTGTGTAAACTACCTCTATCTCTTACCCATGCAAGTATCTCAAAAACTAGAGGAATCTGAACAGGGGTTAGCAACTAGAAGACCCAGGGCCAACTATGACATGAGCAAGCAAGAACATCAGTTGATATTGTAGACAAAACATAGATCTAGTCCTCAGATTCACTGGCTGTCAGCTTTGGAAAGACAGACTTGAGGTTCCTCTATTATCCTTTCCCTTATTAAGGGCTTCTCTGTTTGAGGTGTTTTTAACCTACTGCTTCAGTGAGGCTTCTACTTGCATTTTCTTGCATAGCAGAATTGTAACATAATACAAAACTTACATTTTGGTTTGTTCCACATTTGAAACATAAAAGCTGGCCTTTTTTATTCTAAATGAAGCTGCAAAATGGCTGGAAAACATGGGAGAGGCTCTGGAGGGTAATATAATGAAAAGGACCACACATTTTCATGAATGTTGGTTCTGCTGTTGGTTCAGGACCTCAGTGGCTTCTGACACCATCAGCCATAGTGTCCTTCTGGACAGGTTGGCTGGGTTGGGAGTTGGGGGCACTCCTACATGGCCAACCATTTCCCCAAGGTGGTGGTGCAGGACAGTTGCTCTGCCCCATGGCAGTTCTGCTATGGGGTTCCTCAGGGCTCTATACTGTCCCCATTGCTGTTTAACATATACATGAAATCACTGGGAGCATTCAGAGATGGGGGCTGAGGTGTCATCAGTATGCTGATGACACCCAGCTTTACATCTCATTCTCATCAAAGCTAGGTCAATCACTGCCTTAGCCCAATAATAGAGGGCCAATACCTTGAAGCTCAATCCAGGTAAGACAGAGGTGCTGCTGGTGGATAGTCTGTCTGCCAGAGGAGAGCCTTCAACCTGTCTTGGATGGGGTCACACACCCCCTGAAGGACAGAGTCCATGTCTTGGAAGTGCTCTTGAACTCTATCACTTGAGTCAGGTTGACTCTGTGGCCAGGTGGTACAATTAATTTACCAACTCTGGCCCTACCTGGACATATGGAGCCTTGCCACAATCATCAGTGCCCTGGTAACCTCTTGACTGGACAACTGTAATGCACTTTATGTGGGGCTGCCCTTGCAGATAGTCAAAAACTTCAACTGGTACGAAATGGGTGGCACGATCACTGGTGCAAGCAAGTCCACGCACCTGTATTACACCAATATTATACCAACCTCACTGCTTTCCAATAGAGTTCTGGACCCAATTTAAGGTGCTTGTTCTGACATATAAAGCCCTAAAAAGTTTGGGACCAGGACACCTGAAGAACCGCTTGTTCTAGGGTTAGGTACCCACCTGACCCCTAAGATTGGCTTCAGAGGCCCTTCTGAAGGAGTCATCCTCCAGAGAGGTAAAGAGGATGGCAAACAGAACAGGGGACTTCTCAATGGCTCAATGAAATAGCCTCCCAAGAGCAGTTTCATCTAGTGTTTTCATTACCATCCTTTTGGCACCAGGCAAAAGCAACATTATTCTCCAGGCATTTTAGTTATTGATTTTATTTTGTAAATTTTAAATGGAGTCAATGTTACCTTGTTTTAGAATTTTAACTTAGACTGTTGTAATTTCTAACTTTAATCCCTAACTCTGAGCTGTATATTGTTGTGAACTGTATATTGTTATTACGTATACTGATATGTTTTGTTTACTTGTTAGTTTAATGTTACACTATGTATACTGTTATTGTTTTTCATTGGCATATTTGATTTCATTTTCTTGTTCTGTAATCTGCCTAGGGAATCCTTTTGTACTATTTGTCACGGAATATACTTCTAATAGTAAGTTAAATGAGTCAGGGAACATGAGCACATAATAATGCTTCATGTAGAGAAGCCCTTAATTATCCCATAAAACTAACTGCTTGTTAGGTCCGTTTTCCCTGACCTGGTGCTCTCTGTATGTTTGGGACTTC